CACCTACTGTGTGCCAGGCACGGTGCACACACTGGGCATCCAATGTCGACACGCACAGCACTTTATAGCCTGGCCAGAACGGGAAGGTGTTTTTTTTTTTAATTTTGAAATTTATTTTTATTGATTTCAGAGAGGAAGGGAGCAGGAGAGAGAGAGAGAAATATCAATGATGAGAGAGAATCATTGATCGGCTGCCTCCTGCACATCCCACCCTGGGGATTGAGCCCGAAACCCGGGCATAAGCCCCAACCAGGAATCTACCGTGACCTCCTGGTTCATAGGTCGATGCTCAACCACTGAGCCACACTGGCTGGTCAGAAGGTGGTTTTAAGAGTGAAGAGTGTTTAAGGTGCTTTAGGAATGACAGGCTCTCCGTGTCTCCCCAGAAGCCCCCGCTCTGGGCGGGCTCTGGGTGTTGGGGGATCTGGGATCTGGTGTTTTCCTTGGTGACTGTCCCTTCCCCACCACTTGGCCACCCCATGTCAGAGGCTGGGGACTTGCTGATGAGCTGCAGACCAGCTGAGCACAGTTCAGAGGCCGGGGGAGTAGGGACACCTGCCAAGGTCACTCAAGGCAGCGTCAGGACTGGGGCCCAGGTCCTCCGACAGGGGGTGGGGACCCTCAGCCATCGTTCCAGAGGCTCTGGGCGGTTACACCACTGAGTGGAGCCCATGCACCCCTCTACTTGTCACTCATGCTGAGTGCTTACAGCGTACCAAGTACTGGTTGGGATCTTTTAGGCCCAACACACTTTTTAGGGGTACATACCCCCATTGTCCCCATTTTACAGATGGGGAAACTGAGCAGAGAGGAGTTGAGTGACATGCCCAGAGGCTGCATATAAGAAATAGCAGAGGCAGAGGCAGGATTTGAATCCACACCGGCTGACTCCAGAGCCTGGGCCCTTAGCTCTGCACCACACCGCCAGCCCTCAGTCCTGGGCTGGCACCTCTCCTGCCCTCTCCAGCTGCGGGCCTCCATGGGCTTTGGAGCCCCAGCGCCTGGTCGCCACACCTGCACCAACTGCTAACAGCAGCCCTCTGACTCCAAGTCCTTCCTTGAGCCAGATGTGCAGCCTGAAGCCAGGCCAGGGATTGGAGCCTCATGCAGGGACCGCCCCAGTCAAACCCTAAACCCCAGGTACAGGCCACACCTGGGACAGCCACCCCCCTCAGCACCAGGCAGCAGTGGGAGGTCAGGGGTGCAGACTGGGGCCAGCCAGCCTAGGTCACACCCCTGCTCCACCAACACTAGTTCCCTGACCTCAGCAGTTACTTAACTTGGTATGTGCATCCCAGTGTTCTCATCTCTAACATGGGAATAATACTGGTATTAATGTCCTACGGTTCATGTCAGGCACTGGGACCAGTACCTGGCACATAGTAGGCACTCATAAGTGTTAGAGGAAGTAGACAGGAACTGGGGTGTCTAGCAGGTCCTGGAGAGGAGCCTGTTAGCTCTCTCTGTCCTTGGTTGGGCATGGAAAGGGACCCCCTTTGTCAGCTCTGAGCTGCACCAGCCCACGGATAGAGCTACCACGGTGGCCCTAGTGACCTGTAAATAACTGTCCTGGGGGGTGGGGGGCACTCTGTCTGCTCGAGGCTGAGCCTCTGCCAAGCCTGGAGGATGGCCTGCTGCCATGCAGTGACTCACCAGCAGAGAGGCCAGGGCTCACCTTGGGTGGCCTCCCTCTGCAGAGCCCCCAAGGCAAACTTCAGCCCCGGGGGCAGGACCAGAGGGTGGTGACGGAGATCTGTTCCTGGGTCCAGACAGAGGATGTGAGGTCTGGAGCGGGGAGGGACAGAGCAGGTGTCCTTTGTAGAGTGTGTCCCTGGCAGGTGCCCCATCCTCACCGTTTCCAGAGGAGTCAGTGTTCCCATTTCACAGATGAGAACCCTGAGGCTCACAGGGGCTGTGTCATAAGCCCACGGCCCTGGAGCTGGCACTGAAGAGCTGGGACTTAAACCCAGGGCGGGAGCTGTGAACGAAACGCCTCGCCCACTGTGTTCTCTTCAGAGCCAAGGCCAGAGCCTGGCACATGCCAGCCCGGCGGCACCCACCTGGGGAGGGGCTGGCTGGAGGGACTGCTTCCCCTCTAAGCTGCTTGGACCCCAAGGGAGGCCGGTGGCTGCCCGGGGAGGGGCTTTGGACACCGGCTCAGTAGCTGTGTGGTTTTGAGAGGAGGTTTACCCTCTCTGGGCTGCTGGGAAAGAGCAGGGTTCACCATGGGCCTTCCCGCCCTCCTTCTGTGGTGGGGGCGGATGGCAGCCATGGTGATTAATGGGCTGGGACAGGAGCACAGAGTGCCAAAGAGCAGCTAAAGGGGCTGACGCCTGGGAAGCAGGTGTGAGGAGTCTGGGCGGTGCACACTCACCAAAGAAATAAGCAGAGAAGCCCCGGCCGGGAGCTCTGCAGCAGGAGAAGGTCAGCTTAGACATCAGGAGGGACCGGCCAGGTGGTTGGGCTCTAACGGATGGGGTGCTGGTGTGGGGAGGCAGGAAGCACCCTCAGTGAGCGGAGGAGAGGCTTGTCTTCTGAAGGAGACATCTGCCTGACACCCCTCTCCTTGAAGGATCAAAATGGTCCCCTCCAGGTTGCCATGGAAACCAGAGGCCTATCACTTCTGTGGCCAGGGGAGGTAGGGGAGGAAGCAGGCCTGAGAAGGGGCCTCCGACCTTGAGGTCAGGGGACTAGGGTGTGGACTGAGGAAGGAAGGAGGTGCCCCCCACCGCTCCCTTGGGAGAGAGAGGTGCCCACAAGAACTGTGGCTGGGGGCCCCTCAGGCAGAACCCCAGCCCCCGCCCCCCATGAAATGCTGTGTTTTTCCAGTTGCCGGTGGTGACGTGGCCGTGGTCCCAGCTGGGCCATGAGCAGCCTGTGATTTCACCCTGGGCTGGTTCATTCCCTGATGTCTCCATGGCAACCAGCCTGTGCCCTCATGGGGCCAAAGTCCTCAGGGGGTGATGGCAGCTTTGGCAGAGGCGCCCGCCCCAGGGAGGTTGGGGGGGCGGGCTGGGAGCCAGGAGTCCTTCGAGTCACCACCACCTCCTTGACCAATGACCTTGTTCAAGTCATGTCTCCTCCGGGCCTTTGACGTCACCTACCAGCTTCCTCTGTGCCCGGCCCTCCTGACTCCAGTGTCTGTGGCTCAGGTGATGGCCAGGGGCCCTCGAAACATTCCAGCCCCTTTCAAAGTTCCCCCAGGGCAGCCTGGAGCCAGTGCCACCTTGAACGGCACTTGGCAGCCCGGCTTGTGCTCTCTGGAGCCTTAAGCAGGTCACTTTCTAACCTTTTTGACTGGAACCCATAAGAATAGATATATTTTGCATCATGACCTCATGCACACACAGAAAGTTCTTACCATCGTCAGCCCTGCCCAGCCCACTGCAGCCATCCCTCCCCGGTTATGCGGACATCCAACGGGGCGGGGGGGTGAGAAGCTGGCCTCTCCTTTGTTTTTTAAAGTATATTTTTATTGATTTCAGAGAGGAAGGGAGAGAGAGAGAGAGAAACATCAATGATGAGAGAGAATCATTGATCAGCTACCTCCTGCACACCCCCCATTGGGGGTTGAGCCTGCAACCTGGGCATATGCCCTGATTGGGAATTGAACCGTAACCTCCTGGTTCACAGGTTGACGCTCAACCACTGAGCCACACTGGCCGGGCTGGCCTCTCCTTTGCAAGCATCCCAAATTTCTGCAGGGGTCTGGGAGCCCTCCCTTATTTCATTAGGTGGCCAGAGTGCGAAGGGTGGTTGAGGCAGGGGCAGCAGAGCCTGGGGAGCCCCCTTGAAGAGGGGTCTGTGCTCCCCACCCCGACAGTGCTTTCTTCAGAATGCCAGGCCCTTGTGCCTCCTCGTTACCCGCTTGGCATCCTAGTAGACAATTTCTGAAGAACTAGAACAAGCTCCCCCAACTGCCCATTTTACAGGTGAGGAAAGCAGAGGCTCGGAGAGGCAAAGGCACGTGCTCAAGGTCCCACAGGTGGTAGAGGGCAGGGCTGGGATTTGAACCGGGCCGTGCGGCACCGGAGCCTCCGCAGGTACCTCTAGAGCAGAGCCTGGCACAGGGATCTGAGTGCAGCTGACACATGAAGGACTGAGAGGCAGGACAGAGGACCGGAGCCGGAAAGGCTGTCTGTCATCCTGCAGGGGTGACCTCATCCTGGGCCGCAGGGGACTGTGGAATGACAGTTAGGCTCAGAGTGTCCCGACCCCAAACAGAGGTGCTGGGATCTGCACCTCCAGTCACTGGCTAAGGGCCACTCAGGTGGGGTGGGGAAGGGAAGACATCAATTCTCAGATGCTTTCAGCTCCCGTTGCCTGAGGGCAGCCCACCTAGAAAGAGCGACAGGTGCTGCCCCTTGGAAGCAAAGCACATGGAGGGTGGGGAGGGCTGTGAATGCACAACCGGGAGAGAGATCCAGAAGGATCTGGGCATCGGCTGGAGCACCCACACTCTCTCCTAGGCCAGGCCAGGGGCCGTATAAGGCTCGTAAGGTCACTTGGCCTGGCCCTAGCAAGGCCTGAGGGGTGAGTTCATTAAAAGTTTGACCAAATACGGCAGCTAATGTTTAAGCTGATGATTCTGTGTGACCCTCGGATGATGTTATAAATATCCCAATGGCCCTGGGCAGAGAAAAGCTTCCCCACTCTGCTCTAGGCCCACCCCTTCCCCTCCCTGTCCACACCTCTGCAAGTGTCAGTCTCAGTCCAGCCGCTCCCCAGTCTCTGGGGTTGCCTGGTGCCTCCCCACGAGGGACAAATCTCCTTGAGGTGGGAGAGCAGAGGGCTTGCTGGTCGCTTAGAGGGGTTGGGGGCAGGGCACAGGGCGGGCAGGACTCCACGCAACGCCTGGAGTTTTGTTGGTTCAGCTGGGAGGACGGTGGCATCATTTTCGGAAATTGTGGAGGAAGACGAACGCGGGTTTGCGACCCCATTTGCCCTGGTTTGCTTGCGGTGCCTTTGGGCATCCAGGTCGGGACCTGGAAATGCTGTTAGGAGCTCAAGCAGAGGTGGGGCTGGATGTGTGACTGTGGGCTCAGCCGCACACCCTGAGCCGGCCTGGGAGGCAGGAGGCGAGAAGGGCCCAGGATGGAGCCTGGGCAGGCACGGGGCTGAGCAGGGAAGGAGGACTGAGAGGAGCAGCCAGGGAGGTGGAGGGGAGGCGAGAGGAGGGTGCGGCTCAGAGGGAAGGATGGGCTGTGTCCCGGTGCCCTCGAGGCCAGTGAGAAGCCACTGCTGAGCTTGGCCACATGGAGGTTCTTGGCCACCCATGAGAGGCTGCTTGGCGTGGGGAGGGGACACAGTGCTTCCTGGGGGTGGGGGTGGGGGGGAGGCAGGAGCTGGAGGGAAGAGGCTCAGAGAAGGTCTTTAAAGGATGGGAGCGCTTGGACTGCTAGGATGCTGGGGGCAGGCCCAGTGGTGAGGGACTGGGCGAGGCAGGGAGAGGAGTCGGAATGCAGGCCAGAGTCCCAGCAGGAGGCATCATGCAGGTGCCACACGGATGGACCCGTTCGATGGAGCGGGAAACACAACCACACAGGAGAGAGAGCAGAGCCCTGGGTGTGGGCAGGGACAGGACCCAGCCCTGGGGGGAGCTGGGACAGGTCTTTGTCACAGGAGGGAAAGCAGTGTGAGCAACAACGCAGGCAGGGCTCCGAGGTGAAAAGAAAGGGTGATGCTTTTCGAAGGCTCTGGGTCTCAGCAAGGAATGGGGAGAAGCCAGCGGCAGGGGCACGAGGTGGGTGCCAGGGAGGGAGGTGGGAGGAGGAAAGGCGGGTGAGGTGGGCAACCTGGCAGGAAGCAGACTGGCAGGGAATTAGAGACATGTGGGAGGACCCCCGGGCAGAGTCCTGTAAGAGGTAGAGGGGGCACAGAGCGGGTGCAGGGTCAGGGCAGAGGGTCGAGGGGTCCAGGGCGGCGTTGGCGGAGAGCTCATAGGATTTGCAGGAGTCTTAGCTGGGCCGGGAGAGAGGTGAGGCCCTGGGAGCCAGTGGAAAGTAGGTACATGAATTGGAGGTCTCCTTGGGGCCAAAAAATGCCAGCGTGTGGTGCTAGAATTAGGGAAAATGGAGTAACAAGCAGATGGGCAAGTAATTCCCATTGCGGGGACCAGGCCGGACCCAGCTGCTGTGGCTTTGGGTCTGTTTTCTACAAAATGAGGATGGGTGCTAATCAAGTCACGCCCGCCCCCCCAGGGCTGGCCTGACCTGGCTTCCGGGAGAACACTCCTGTCTCTCTCATTTCCAGATCTGTTCACGGGAGTCCACAAGGATTGCCCTATGCCCGCGGGCACAGGCCCCCTGAGCCCACTGCCCTGCAGCCGCCCACCCACCCTCATTCCGGACTATGTCACTGGCAAGGTAAGCTGGTCATGCGTCATCCCCACCTTCACCCCCCCCTCCGCCCTGGCCCCTGGGCTGTTCCCTGCGGCTCCCACAGGGAGCTCCTCCCCTCCCGGCCTCGTGGGCTCGGGGCCTGGAAGGTTTGCTGTTCGGCTGGATGGAGGTCTGCATCGGCCGGGCCTTCGGGAACTGGACCAGGCTTTAGAAGGCTTCCTCTCTCCCCCCTCCTCCCCCACCCCCACCCCCATGAACTCAGCCTTGCAAATAACAAGTTTTGTTACCAGCCCAGGACACCTCAGCAGCCTGTACTGCCCTGCACTGGAGAACGAAAGGAGTAGGATTCTTAGATCTCGCGAGGGGCCTCACCTCCTGCTGCATAATTTCTGCCCTTGCCCCAGAGGTCATGACCTTGAACCTACCAATTGATAGAATTACCATTTGTGTTGTTGTTGTTTGAGCACATACCACATGCTAAAGCATTGTGCTAGGCACATGCTCACATGATCTCATTTATGCTTCCCCACAGCCGAGGGGTAAATGGCATTGTCCCTTTTTGCAGATGAAAGAACTGATGTTCTGAGATGTTATTAGTCTAAGGATGCCCAGGCTAAGGGGCAGAGCCAAAACTCGAAC